CACAGTAATTTCCCTCGGGACAAATAAAGCTTCTTGAATCTTGAATTAAAAACATTAACCCTTTCACACACACGTTGTTGCCCATCAATCCCACTGACAGTACAGTTAAAGCCAGTTTCTGAGTGCCAGACAACAGAAAATACAACACAGACCATTAACAATTACACACAACTAACAAAACAACACACTGCATCTTACTTTCTCATCGGTTTTCACCCGGTAACCGAAGGCGACCTGCTCGTAGCTGCCTGCAACCAGCTCCAGTACAGCTGCCATGCTGCCACTCACAGAGGGTTGAAGCTAACGTGGCTTTCTTCAAACTGCAGCTGTTTCTTCGTGAATTCTGTCTCCTGGTTCGAGCAACAGCTAGAAACAGCTACTATCAGTCCAATAGGAGACACACATGACAAACAGCGCACGTAAACGGGGTGGTGAAGCTATATAAACATGAATATAACCCACTAACGACGCCAAAATAACGTGCGCAGCGAATGCGCTTGCGCAGAAGTCTACTTCCTTCCAGCTGGGGTTTTTTCAAAATAAAAGCCGGTGTTGTGGAGTTGTGTTTACGCGTCATGCACTCATTAATGACAGTGTGGCACTTGTGTCTTGCATTGATTTACACACTTTAACGATGTTATAATGACATGTATAAATAATATAATATAATAAATATAATAAATTGGTCAGTCTGAAGAAAAGCCTTTAATTTATTCAGTTAAATTGGCGTTTAAATGACACAAACATTACAGTATATTATTCCCTAATATGTGTTTATATAATTAAATATTAATGGGTTTTTGAGTTACCCTTGTTATAACAACAAGTTTCTTATATTTTTATTTCCCAAGAAGATATTTCAGTCCAGAGAAACCACGGGTCTTAATGTTTCTATCAAAATAGACACATTTTAATTAATTTGCTATAAGTGCAGAAATTACACTCGAATAACAATTTTTAAGCAAAACATTTATTAAAATCACTCTAAGGTGTGTCTGTCCTCTGCAATAGTGAGTTCACCTCTATGAAAAAACCCACTGTGCAGGATGGGACCCGCCCTCTCTAATGCCAGAGGGGAGGGGCGAGGGCCTTTTTACTGTCTTCTAATTGGCTGTTTCCCTTTGGAAACGTCATGACTGACGCCTCAGATAACTGTCTGCAGGAGTTTTCTGAGAAAAGTCTTAGTACCCTTTTCCACTGAGCAGAAAACAATCAACAGTCATGGCAAGGGGGTAAGTTTTTAAAGACAAATAACAAACACAAACACAGAATAACTTCTTCTCCAGTGTGTGCATGTTTCTTATCAGCTGAGTGGTGACACCTGCAGCCACTTTGTTTCAATTCGGGATCGATTTATTTGATGTAAACAGTAGCTACTCTGCAACCTGATACTCCTCACAGTTTTTCTTTTAAAGTAAAGGTTTGTGGTGTGAGGTTACCTTCGCATAAAATGTCCCTTTGGTCCAGAGCAACAGCTGCTCTCTCTCTATCTGTGTGAAGTGTTCAGGTTTCTGTTCAGTGTTTTTCTAGATGCTGTGTGTTTGAAGTCAGGACTGTTGTTTGCAGGGTCTGGTAGTCATTAGTGGGTTGAATTATACAACAGAACAAACTGAACATAGTTGGCTACAAACACACAACACTGCAACAAAACTGTAGCTGTTTCTGTCCTTGTGATGTTCACATCCGTCCCTCTGACTAAATTAAGAACAGAGAAGTTTCTGTATCACTGTGTGCGCCTTCCTGTCATTTGCTTCTTACTCAACTTTTTTTTTGGTTTCCTAACGTGACATCTGTCTATATGGCAGGAAGGGTGTGGCAGTTATTGTGATTTTTAAGGTACTTTTAATTGCACTTTTTGAAGATTTTGAAGACCAAGCAGATACAGTATCTGACCACGATAATGGTCTCATATTACACCCTGAATCAAAATTGTTTGCCCAGGTGACAGTGGTACCATGAAATAGCATCTGGAAGTTAGGTTTGTTATGGTCTTTCTCAGGTTACAACCTATTCAGAGCCATGCAGTTGTAAACATGTTGAAAGAGGTTTAACAGCTGTTATCAACACTGGATGAAGTTTGTTGTACAAGGATGGTTTTGAGTTGCATCGACTTCCTGTTAAATTTATTATTTGTTATCTGAATGAATTAATCAGGCACCGTTGATTGGTTTAACTGCTGAATTAATCAGCGGTGATAACCAAATGGAACCAAACAAAACTCAAACTTTGCCTTCATCATTAATTCCTCCCAACGTGCGGCAGGAAACCTCACGTCTGACCTCATTAGTGGAGGAGCTGCATCTACATCGGGTGGGATTTAAAGGTTTATGAGAGGTTGCTGTTAGAAAATATTAATAAATACATCAAAAAGTCAATTGAAACAGACTTCAGTTAATAACAAATGACAGGTCACAGTAGGAAAAGAGTAGTTTAAAGAGCTATTGTGCATGTTGGACACTTAAATTCTCTCTCTGAAGAACAAAACCCCCCGAAAAAATCCTCTTTTTTATTAGTTTGAGTTGATTCCAAAAGGCATGTTTAAAGTGTCACAAACTTTAGTTTTGTCTCCCACTTCTACTCTACTTAATTCACTGTGTTTTCTTTGCGTTTTCACAGTCAACAGGCCAACCAGGAGCTCACCGAGGTGTTCAACCAACTCTGGCACCTTGATACCAACCGTCTCAGACCGGGGACTGATTACATAATTTCCCTCCAGGTCAGTAACACAAGTACTGCCGTCATCGCTTCTCTGCAATGCAAAACACTCAGAGATACATGCAGCACATGTGGATGTCCAAGGTTACGACCAACAGCTAGTTTTAATTTCCCATATGTATTGAGAGGGGAGTGCTGTTAACTGTTTTACCTTTCTTACTAATGATTATAACTTCATAACACAACAATTAATAACCTTAACTTACTCTAACAGGGCAAAACCCCATGACACACAACATTTCATACCTGTGCAACAAAACATTTGAGAGATATCTCTTGGAATATTTAAAGGTCCAGTGTTTAACATTTAGGAGAATCTATTGGTAGAAATATAATATACTATTAATAGGTATGTTTTTATTCGTGTATTTGATTCTTCGATACACAGGACCTTTAAATACTTATATAGTCAGTTTATTGTGTTTATACAACTATTTTAAAGTGTTTTGCTTTGAAAATTAAGCAATGATAAAGTTGTTGACATATTTTCTTTTAGATTAACAAGTTTTTTTACTTTTCCCATTAGTAAATAGAGAATAAAGATAAGAAATCAGTTACTTTAAATAACCTTTTATATTTATTTATAGACTGATTATACATGTGATGAAACCAAATAAAAGGACGTATGTATTCCCTCATTTTGTGTCACTTTGTTGTTATGTTACACAGGAAAACTGGGAAAATCGTACAGACTGTGCAATGAATGTCGACCTCTGAGTCAGTGCTGATGTCTGTCTGTGTATTTACATGTGTTGTATTCAGGGGAGGGCAGATTACGTGGCTCAGGGTAGTAACTATGCCAGAGACAGAGCCAGGGCTCCGCTCTTCAAGTACGTCAACGAAGACAAACTCAAGAGCATCGAGACGTACGCTCGTGAGTAGCCTCTCCTGTCATTTTATCATCTCTTTTACTGGAACCAGCTACGTCTTTAACAAGTGACGATTTTACTCAGATTTCATCAACTTGCTGGACAACTACGAGGCGTCCACAGGCGTGTCTGAGACGGTAACGTCAGAGGAGCTTCAGGAGAACAGAATCTTTATCGACGCCATAATGGAGACTGATGTCATGAAGGTGCAGTAACTGTGAGAGAGACAAAGGGGTCATCTCTTATATCTAACATCAACAAACATCCTACACAGCAGCTGTTTACACTCCTGGTTACCTCCCGAAATGTTGACAGAGTTTCAAGAGTCTGTGTGAAGGTGACTTCCTAGAAAACCATGCATCAGCTGTTATTTACTGTTGCAGGTTCCTGTCTGCCACTGCTGTTCCCCCACCTTTACATAACAGGCTGAATCAGTCACCTGGCCCTATAAAATGCTTCTTCTAATGGCTTTTTCTCCATAACAACTGCATTTAGGATGGAACATATAGACAAACTGAACATTCACACAAAATATCAGCTACATACTTCACTAAAGAGTTTACCTTCAGTCCTCTAGATTGGCTAAATGTGTTCAATATTACATTCTGTTTTCAAATTAAAGGAAAAGACCTAAATGAATGAGTGGAGACACATGCAGATGCTTTCATACAGGACACGTTAGGTCATTGAATGGTTGGATGAGAATGAAAATGATGTGAATCAATTTAAAACCTATTAGAGAATTAAGAGGTTTCCAGAGACTGAGATTGTATTTAAATTGTCACCAATCTGTCTGCTGTACATCCTTATTTTAGCATCATTTTAAGGACATTTTACTTCATTTTGTGCTCAATAACAAGAAATTCAAATAAAAAGTATTACTGGTCAGTAAACAATCTCAAAACAAAGTCAGTTTAGTTGCTGTTCTGGAGCTTTTGCACTTATCACAGGGTCTTCCTCAGTTGTTAACCTTGCAGTCAACTTCTCCCAGTTAGGATTCCTTCAGTGTTCATCGTTCAGGAGGTTTATATCAAGAGCTGAATTATCCACAGAGGTCTCCAAAACAAACAGACCTGGTGATTAAAACCTGTAGAAAATACAGAATAAAGCAGTTTTACCTTAAATATCAGTTTGTTTCTCTGATAACTTAAGATCCAGACATCTGATGACTAAATTCCATCATCCAGTTCAAATATAGAGTTAAAAACAACAAAGTGTATACTAAAAACGAATAACCAGTGAACCAGTGTTACCTGAATAAAATACAATTTCTGTGAGTTTGAACATTGTTTAAACATTTGGGATAATGTCAGTACACAACTCAACAACATATGTAACATAGAGAGTTTGTAGTCATTTTAATGTGAAAATGTTACAAATTACATCTTTAAATCTTCCTGACAAACTATCTTTATCAACAGTTTGTTCTTCCCTTCATATGCACTATACTCTTCTTTTACCCTGTTCTTTGATCCTAGCCTGACCATCAAACTCTATGTGTCCTCTTTATAGTGTGCTCACAAGTATCTGGTCAGGAAGGGACAGTCGCCATCAAATCCCGGACATTTCAAGAGACAGCTGTACGACATCTGGTTCCGCCTCTACCACAGGGACAGGAGTGGAGGGTGAGTTTCAGAAACAATATCATAACAGCAGGGGGCGCTGTTGTAATGTTTACAGAGACAATCCTGACTGTTAGCAGAAAGATCACAGGTTTAATCATCTACAGAATAACTCGTGGAAGTCAGTGTTTACCAGCCTCAGGACTGGACAGATGAACTTCCTTCTCAATGATCAATAAGGAATCTAAGCTATATTTACTGCATGTAGTAATCCTGCTTTGAGACTGAGAACAGAAAAGATATAAATGAAGTCTAAATAATAACTTATGACCACGTTTCACTCTCCATCTCCATCAGTTATGTCATCTGACAACTGCTCCACAAAAGGGTACAGAGGAGTTAAACTACCGAGGTTTTCCAGGGTCGGTTTAAATTCAGCTGTTTCTTTAACAGAGAGTCACAGTTACCTTTAGTGCTTCCATCCTTTATCCAGGCGACAATGCAAACACAGCAGATAAGAGGCCATAAAGTTAAAAACGGACATGATCCCGGGATGAATGAAAGCTTACATGGAGGGGTACTAATCTTACTGTGTCATTTTTTTATTACAGGGAGGATTCCTGTGGATTTGAACACGTGTTTGTGGGAGAAACCAAGTACGGCCAGGAGGTCATGGGTCTTCACAACTGGGTCCAGTTCTACCTGCAGGAAAAACACAACCACGTTGACTACAAAGGCTACAAAGCAAGAGACAACAAAGATACAGTAAGAGAACACACAGTGCAACCAGATCCATCATGAAGATACTGAGCACTTTCTGTAAAAAAAAACATAGATTTTATTCACTTTTGTTAGTTTAGTGCCATTAATGAACAACAAATACAATAGATGAGTTCCTTAACGAAGCTTTTTCATCACTGTTTCATAGCCCGATGAAGATGACCATGTCCTGAACCTGCAGTTCAGCTGGAAAGGTTTGGTGAAGCCGGTTGGCAGCTCCTTCATTGGCGTCAGTCCAGAGTTTGAGGTAGCTCTCTTCACCATCATCTTCCTCATGTCGACTGAGAAGATGACGTCCGTGACGGTGAAGGTGGACGAGTACATGCTGGAGCTGGTTGTCTATCGGCACGGACGATCCATCGGTACGTCCTACCCCAAACTGCTCAGCAGCAACAACAGGGATCTGTGATACTGCACCAATCTGAGCTGGCAGCTGTAAAAACCTACGTTTAAATTTACACTTTCTGTTACATTTCATTCCTACAAAGTATGAACCTAAGACGAATCTGGATCAGGTTCTCTTTGCACCAAATGTTAGGCTTTAACTGTTTATAATCAGCAAAGTTTGTGGCGAGAAAGAGATATTTTGTTATTAATCTTTTATTATTATTCAGTATTGGTATTATTCTGTATGCTGTTATCGAGTAAATAAAAATGTCTTTTGTTTACAAAGAAGTGTTGCATTTTTATTTTCCTCTGTTGAAATTAGGACAGATAGCTTTTATAGAGATTTATAGGATTGTAGTCGTTTGCCCTGAACACAGTCTGTCAGGTAGACTTCCTCTCAGGCTCAGAAACCTTAAATGAAACGGAAAGAATTCATTTTCACTCCAAGTTTCATTTCTGAGTTCATAACAATTTAGCACAAAAACTACAACAAACTGACTAATTGGGCTACAACTGACTGGAAAATTAATTAAAATAAGTTTGATACAGATTTATTAAAGACAATTGGGATAAATTTTTCCAGAATTCAGACTTTAAAAAGAGAAATCTGAGGAATTATATACATATTATTTAATATTTTTTATTCTCTGAAACTTAATTCTTGTAATCATAAAGCAAATCCTACTAATATATCATATATATATATTGTTTAGCAATTGTACTTGTATACAGTTAGATGTCTATATCAGATATTAATTTGATATAATATAAAATGATATATTAAAACACATTGTATTGTAGGAATGTCATTATATAGATTTCTGGGTTTTCCTATAAGGATTACAATAATTGAATCATGACAAGATAAATTCCAAATGAAAGATGAAACTAAAAATATTGAACTTATTATATGTTTATAGGTTTATTCCTCAATTTAATTTGACACTTAATTAACAGATTTATTTAGTTGAACCTCAGTCAAGAGGGAGGAGGCCATTCAGGTCCTCAATCAGTGACTTTACACACATATAACTTATAATACATACACTGTCACACTGATGTAACCTTATATCATATATATATATATATTATTATGCAACGATTTCACAGTTTCATTTGTCTAAAACTCATTACTGGTTGTATTGTTTCACTTCTCCTCACACTCAGTCATGTTCTACCGTTAATATTTACTCTTTTTTATTATATTATAATCAGCAATTATTTTATTTTATTTTATTTAATCAATTTTCAAGATTTTTGTATATTTTATTAACAGATTAATCTTCATTATATCTATTTATATCTATTAGTTACACTCCTAATAATCTCCCTATACATTATGGTTGTGTATGCGCCAATAAAACTTAATTCACTTAATTTTTTAAATTCAACGTATCTGCGTATTTTCACTCATTAAATCAATAAACAAACAATCTGAGCCGCCTCACAGGCCAAACTCGGGGCGGAAAACAACAACAACAACAACAACAAACCCAAATAAGGACGCGCCTTCTCTCCGCGCATGCGCACTCGAACAAATCCGTGTACATGTCAAAGCACAGAAACGGAGCTGATGAAGTGGTGAACGAGCAGGTAAACACACACACACACACACACACACACACTCTTCTGGAGGCTTCGCTGACTCTCTCTCTCTGTCTCTCCCTTTCTC